ACTTTGATGCAACAACCACATTACCCAATCCATCTGATAAGGACTCTAACAGATGAATCCAGTTTACCTGCCTGGAGACTGAAAAATGCCCTCGCACCAATCAGTCTGCCAGCAGTTCCCCTATCAACGCCCCTTTCTGAGAGCTGAATTCTGCTCCCCCATCCGGGTTAGCCTCTCCTAGCCTTGCACCCCCCCCCCCCCCAACTGTGATCAATGAACAGGCCATCCTTTTTTTTTTTTAAAAAATTTCTCTTTTAATTCAACCCCCTTTTCCCCCCGGGGCCCCCCCCCCCCCCCCCCACCCCCCCGGGAGACGGGGGGGGGGGGGAGAAAACGCCCTGCCCTGCTCTGTGTCGAAATCCCAGCCTCCGGCTCGACTTCACAACCTACACACTTCACCTTCACCTACGCTTTTTCTTCTTTTCTTTTCGTAAGTCTGTTGAGGCCACATCTGGACACCACCACTGATTTCTGCGCTTTTTTTTTTTCCAGCCCTCGCCTTTGTTAGCCCCACCGTGCGCTTCCTCACTGGGAGGGAGGCGATCACACGCTCGAAGACATCGTGATGTTCTATTCATGGCAGTAATTATTTAAATATTAGTGACCTGCCACGTACGCACAATCACAATTAACCTTCACAAATGGATGGCGAAATACAAAAGCAGGCTTAACCCTTACGCTTGAGCGGAGAGGTGAGGCTGCAGAGTGTGAGGAGGGAGGAGGGGTGGGGGGGATTCTCGCAATCCACCAAATCAAGGGGGGAAAAAACGCATTAAGGAAGCCCAGATTTGAACGCCATGTCGCCTCAGCATGGGCTGCCCGTTGAAGGCAAGAGAGACATTTAAAAAAAGTTTTACCTTTAACTTGAGTTTCATATTCGGCCACGATCTCCTTGTCCTTTCGGAATTTGGCTGGAGACGTCATGGCTAAGTTTGGAGATCAGACCGCTGGCTCTGGCCGGGAAGTCAGTTTTTTTCTCTCAGCTGCTCAGTAAAATCAGAACGAGGAGGGAAAAAGAAAAGCCTGCCTTGGAAACCGGCTCGGAAGAGGGGAGACGGGGTGGCCAGATGAGAGCGCGCAGTTCCTCGGCGTGCCCGCGGATCCGTATTGTCTCCTTGGCTGTGCTCACTCAGGGCGCATTGTGAGTTTGGCGCTGCTGCTGCTGCTGCTGTATCCGCCTCACCGCCTCCTCACAACCGGTTATGGTGCAAACAACTTCACGTGAGAGGAGAGTCATTCCCTTTCTCCCGAAAAACAAACACGCACAGCTCCTCAGCAGGCCGTCCCGAAACTTATTTTTCGTAAAAAAAAAAAAAACTAGTCTCGTGGCTTCCAGTCCGCCCGTCTTAACTAAACTACTTCTGTCTTCCCCCCTCCTGAAGAGAGAGAGAGAAAGAGAGAGAGAGAGAGAGGGGGGGGGGACCAAGTGGTGATGGAGTGGATGGAGGCTGGTCATTCCCAGTGCGCAGGGCAGGCATGTACGCGTGCACATGGGGGATGTTTATTTGAGCACACAAACCTCCAAAGAAGCTCTTTTCTGCTGAATATCGTTAGTGTGTGTCCTCTTTGCCCAGGTGTTTTTAATTGCATGTCGATGGTAGGTTAACAGGCCAGTTAAAATAGGATTTCAAAAAGCATTTCATCCTCAGTCGCGTTAATACTGATAACTGGAAAGACCATTAGTATCTGGCTATTCGTCAAAAGATCATGCTAGCAATAACCTGGTAGCAAAATACTGATGTTGATAGTGATATTAATTAAATTAATTCGATTTTAAAGTCAAAACTTCAAATACAATGTCTTGTAGTGAGTTTTTAGAGGCACAATATCCTAAATAGTGTAATGTAAACTTTTTTTTAACCTGTAGCCCCGCCTGAAGGGGCAATTTACCGCACCAGGATTAGTGTGACGGATTTAAATGACATCCAGTCGCACCAATAACATAACTGACACGGTGTTTCTTGATTTTTTTTTTGACCAATCAACGCGAGAATTTCTGACAAAGCCTCCAATGGCATTGGTTATTCTGTCTTGTATCCAATCACAACCGCGTGTGGGTTTTTTAAAGATAGTTTCAGGAAGTGTCGTTGAATATCAGGAAGTTGTAAACAAATCTGACAGCTATTTAGTTAGCTGTTTACCGCATTTGAATTAGCTTGTTCTGTAAAACAGACTAGCTATTGATTAATATTGTTTATTTATTATAGTATAATAATCTACCAGTTTCCACAAACAGATTACTTCTTGGTTTTTCCAAGTCTCTGTTCCACAAGCTAACTGGTATCCGTTTTACGGCTAGGGGAAAGCTAACGTTCGCACAAGGACGTTCGAGCTGCCGCTTTTGCGTGTAAAGTGAATTTAATTCACTTCTCATTTACTTCGGACTGAACGGATAGGGAGCATAATTATCCGTTTTGTTTCTTGGTTTACTTGCTGCCTGTAGGCAGAGAGCCCGCGAGTGTTCGTCCATTTTAGCTTAACCGCAATGTCTACATCTAACGCCAATTTTAAAAACAAGTGCGTTACACAGGTGAACTGTATATTTTGTGAAAGTCTGCTTTGCACAAGAGGCATGAAGGCAGTGCTCCTTGCGGACACCGAAGTTGAGCTGTTTTCGACTGATATACCTCCAAATAGGTAAGTACGAACGCTGTTAGTGGCTTTGTTTATGTGATGCTTCGAGGTTTGTCAAGTATTTGTAAGGAGAAGTATACTGGCGATGTCTGAGTAATGCTCAGTTCTTACTTGTGGGCTTGTTGCGTGAAAACGTGATGTGATGTTCCATCCTTTTCATCCACCTGTTTTCTTTTTTATACCCACCGTCCCCCAAGAACTGTGGACTTTGTGGCCAGCTGCTATTCTACTGAAAGCTGTAAATGCAAATTGAGAGACATCGCTTGTCTTAAATGGTATGTACACCCTCACTGTAACCTGCTGATCTGCCTGTGTTAAACTGTAATTTAAGGGCATCTATTTCTTTAAGCACAGGAAACAAACATCCATCCATTTGTCAATGTTATGTAGCTGTAGATTACTGTTGTTTTTACTATACACATGGATGAAACCTCTGGAATAATTAATGATTAAATCCCAACACATTTCCCGAGAGCCTAATGCAAAATCTTATCAAATCTTGTTTTTTGCCCCCCAAAAAAATCTAAATCTACTTATTGGGTTGCAGTTTCGTGGTGCAGCATTTCAAATGATGTACTACTATTTGAAATGATCATCTTACATAAGAGTTTAGAGCTGTAGTGGGAGTTTTTTGGGCCTGTTTTGGAATTCTAGCCTTTTCTTGTTGTTTTACACGAGGGAAAAACAAACATCTGTTAGATAATAGATGGCCACCAGTGGTGTCGGCTCTTTTCAAAAGTGCCCCCAGCAATTTGCTGACTCAAAAAGATTCTTTATTCTCTTTTCCTCCCGCTCCCAGTGGTAATGTTGTTGGCTACCATGTAGTAGCCCCCTGTAAACCCTGCCTGCTCTCCTGTAACAACGGTCATTTCTGGATGTTCAATAGTGATGCTGTGTCAACTCTTAACAGACTGGATGCAACAGGTTAGTATTTGCTCCACTGTTCTCATCCTGGCCCTCTGTGCAGTTCCAATCCGCCATACGTCTTCTTCAAATGTGTTTGCAGGTCTCAATCTGCTTTTGTGGGGAGATCTTCCTGAACTAGATGACAGTGAAAATGAAGAATCAGAAAGCCCATCAGAGGAGGAGTGCATAAGGTAGACAGAGAAATGGACAATGAAAGAAAACCCAAAGGGTAACATTTCAGAAGAGCAAAGAAAATGTGTACAAACCATGGTGAGATGAGAATGAAAAGAGGAGAATTAAAGGGTATTTAAACACCAAAAACATAAGGCAGATAAGCTTGTACTCATTCAGAGCAGTTTTGTCCATCCCCCAAACAGTTATGTCACAACTGGTGTTCAGCCTTTGAGGGGTGATGGCAAACACCTGCTGTTGCATCACCGATTGGGATGTGGCCGTGAAGCATGAGCTTTTGGTCCTCGAGTGTTGAATTACCCTTTAAGTAACAATGCCTTTCTCCCCTCCTTTCACTGTTAAAGCACAGACACACATTCGCACATACGTTTTTCTCACTTTTCATTTTTAATAGTGCGATCTTCCACCGGTTATTATAAAACATGTAGCTTTAGCAAAGTGAAGACATGGGACAACTAGACCCTTTCGTCTAGTCCATTCTGCTATCTTGAGCTTGCGTTACCGATCAGCCTCATGAGAAGCTGAGGGCGTGGTGTGATGAGGCAGAGGAACTTACCTGAGAATGCGGTGCTTGCTCAAACAGGTCACGCTGAATTGTTTCTTCTTTTTGTTTTGAGAAAATGGCCTCGGTATGCCTATCTTTGATGATGGTTACTGTATAATCTATACATTGAATATGCTGTAATAAGAAAAGTTTCTATTATTCGTAATGTCAGAAAAGGCTTATATTCTTGCTGTGTGGCTGGGTGATGACTGAAACCTGGAGTGCTTTCTGAATCTCACACATTATAGGAATGGCACAAACTATGAATGATGAACAAGCTCCTTCCTTTTTTAAAGGGCATGTTTAAGGAATTTATGCTCAGACGTTCTGTCCGGATGGATGTGGATAGTTAATGCAGTGTTTCTTACATTTCTGACCTCAGCAGTAAGTGCTGAACACCCAAAAATCAGACTAACTTACTAACTTAGGAAAAGAACTAACTTCCAGAAGAGACTGGAACAGCTGCTGAGTCTAAAGAGGTTTTTGTCCAGAGATGGAACCATTAAAGGCTTCCAGACTGATATGGAAAAATCTGACTCCAAACTCACAGGGGGCTGTTTGTGTAAAACTTCTTGTGAGTTTTAAGGTTAAATTACACAAAGAGGAGCTCAAAATAGATGCCTGTATTCACGTTTGTGTTGTACCATTGTTTAGTTTGACGGGGCAGCGTTTGCATCGCAGCTGAGCAGCTAAAGAGAATCATGTAATGCATCAGAACTTGATTTTATAAACCAAAATGATAGTTAAGTAATCTACCATTAATTTATAGAGCAACATTTTTGGATGTTTTCTGAAGACATCAAAGAGCAGGAAGGACCATTCTAAGGTTTCCGCTGGTTCATGTTGGGCCCTGCACAAGCCTGCTGACACAGCATTAACGTGAATGAGATTAGCAGAGGCAGCGGAACATCTTAAAAGCCGCTGGAGAGCGGCTCTTGAGAATTTGTACATTCCTAACACAATTCAAACAGCAGGCTGAAACACTTTTTAGTCTTCTGAGGTGTTTTCTGAAAAAATGTGTCTCCTCTGACTGGTCTCTCTCCTCAGCAGACTTAAAGAAAGTAACTCCAAACTGTACTTTTTGGCAGTGCCAACCACAAGCTCTTACTTTTTTCACTTTTTGTTCCCAGCGAATCTGTGTTTATCTAAATTAACTGTTTCTCGCAGAACTGCCTGCATGGTGGGCAAACATAGAATGTCGAACCTTTTCAAAAGCAGAAGCCTTCCACTATGAATTGGCCTCCATAGCTACCTATGCTGCAGAGTGTAGTTGTGGAAAATCATTAACTGAGGAGGAAGCTGAAATTAGAAGTTATAACTGACAGTCTGTTTCCCACTTTCACGCCAAATGCCGTGTGTGTTTGTGGACTAGAAACAGGGCATCAACAATGTTATTTATTAATCCACAACCCAATTGCACATAGCCACATTCTTTTTTTTTTTTCTTTTCTTTTTTTTTTCTTTCCAAGGTTACAAACTTTGTTTACAGATGCTTTAGGTTGAATTGTTCTATGGTACTTGTGGTTTTGTTCATGTATTTAATATTTTCCTTGTGTAGTGCTTTGTTTGGTATGTCAATATTTGGATTTGTACAGTTTTACCTCAAGATGGTATGGTGTGGAATTTTCCTCTGGCTAGGACAATTATCAAATGATAATCAGAATTATTTAAATGGCTGTTTTGGATGTGAATGACTTTGATTAACATGCCCTGCTGAAAATGTATATTTTGGAATTGCACTGAAACTGCGTTAGTAGTTTAAAAAATAATTATTTGTTGTTTTTGTATGCTTGTTGAAATAAACTTTTTTTTTCCAAAATATCCTCAAAGACGCTGAAATCCGGTTGTCTTTTCTCTCAATTTTTAATTGTTTTTGATTTTTGAATGCGTCCTGTGAAAATTACTCTTTCTTTTGGACTGATCCAACTGAAGGTTTGGAATTTGTTTATGCATGCCTCCATATGGAGCATTTCCAGCCGCTGTTAAGACACGTTAAAGGCAACTACAAGAATCTCACAAAGAAAAAGACATATTCTTGTGGTTTATCCTGTTTTCACATGCCTTTGTTCCACCTCCACTTATTAAAAATCAAGTCCATGCAACATCAGCTTTTCATGGTTTAACTGTTGCTTTGAGTGTAATTCTAAGCTTCCTATCAGGGCATCACCATGGTGATTTGAATATTTGGACATCAACACAAGGAGACACTCTGGGCCGTTTGTGACCTGGAGGAGAAACGACTAATATGGAGCCTTGTCACTCAACGGACTCCCGGGTTGCTCTGGGTAGCCTCCGGGTGTGTGTGTCTGTGTGGCAGTGAGGTGAGTGTTGCATGACAAAATCAATACGTACGTTGCATTCAGGGCATTTCTCAGGCAAACAATAAATGAAATACAATATCCCATCTCTCCCCTTTGACCGCAGTTCCTCCGGGTGACGTTAGCGTGATTCATAACATTAGTTAATAGAAGTCAGACACTTTCTGCATTTTGATTCACTCTCACACACACACATGCACACAGATATTTGCATGATTTGGGAAACCGGAGTAGGTCCCATATTGGATCTTTTACATCTTTCATGGGAAACAACACCTAAGAAAAAACTATGAGCCCATTTCAAGAAATTGTTAAAGTTTTATTATGAAAAATATCCAATTTGGTGCTTACAACTGTTTTTGAACAGTTGTTTATTGCTTCCACCCATCCCTTTTCCATTGCTGCCTAGTTCTGTTGAGGGTTATTGCTGTGTGGTTCCAGTGATAATCGTCACACCTGTCAACCAACCAAAACAAACACGCCATAAACACAGTAAGTTCTGTTTTTTTTTTATTTTATTTTATTTTTTTTAAAACAATGCTTCTTTCTGTCAAAGCTGGATTGTGCCTGTTGGACTTGCAATGGAGCTAACACAGTTTCCATTTAAATGTCCTTGTAAGCCACTGTTTTATTAGAAAAATCCCACTTATAAATTATAACAGACTTGAACATAATATTTTGGTTTGCATTTAAACTAAAATGGACTACAGTATTTTTATTGGAGATACCGAATGTCTCTAACACCTGTTGTAAATGGTACCTGGTTTGAATTACCACCAAACTGACACTGAATTATACTTACAGTAAATGCAAAGATGCAATGGATCATATCTATCAGGAAGACAATACAGAAGATATTCAAGTTTATGTCTGATCTCATAAATGAGAAAACAAAAACAATTTTCGTTATTTCGTTATCTTGCTGCGCAGAGCCTTTAGCTGCTCCTCTTCAGGCCACCGGCTGGTTCTGATCTCTGTATATGCAGCACCTGCGCCATTTATTGGGCTTCAGTACGCACCACCATTTGTTGCGCTCGGAAATCTCAGACTGAGCTCTGTGGCTCCCTCTGCTGGATCAGAGCTGCAATGACATGGACAAAAAACATTTTTTTCCCCCAACCATTAACATGAACCTGCAATTGGAAGTGCGTTAAAGAAAATGTATATGCCAATTATGATATCTTATGTGAATTAGCAGAATTTATTTTTATATGTATATATTTATATATATATAATTTAAACCCCCCTGGACCATCACTATGAGGGAAAACTATGTTTTAGATGTCACCTCTCCTATTTATTCTACATAGTATTAAAGTGAAGAAAAAAATATTTCCACATAATTTGTCCCTGTGAAAAAGTTTGCATTTTATTAATGAATTCTTTAATGATTTGTGGCCCAGTCCAACAATACCATAAAGTGGTAAGAAATTAATACTTTTTTTTTTTTTTTTTTAACATTCTTAAGTTGTAATGCCAGAGCAAGATCCAAAAAAACCATCCTTTAATAGAGGATGAAAGGGGAAAGCATCTGCAGATTAAAAATATGCATTTTCCCTTGTTTATCAAATGAAAATGTACTTCTGTTTGCTGCTGGTGTCTGACTGAAATGACAGTTTCTTCCTAAAAGACAATTGATTGTGGTTTGGATCAGGGGCTTTCCATGTTCTCCCTGTGTATGTGTGGGTTTCCTGTGGGTACTCTTGCACCCTCCAACCAAAAACATGCATTTTAAGGCAATTGGGGACTCCCAATTGCCCCAAGGAGTGAATGTGAGTGGTTGTTTGTCTCTGTGTGGCTCTGAGATGGACTGGTCAGCTGGGATAGGCTCCACCCCCCCCCTGCGACCCCACTGGGAGTGAGCAGTACAGAAAATGAATGGATGATTATGGCCTAAAAACTGATTTCAGTGACTGGGCACTAGATGGTGTAGTTGCACTATTTATGGAGACCACTGTTACATGGTTTGTTTAGGGGAATGGTTACAGTGCGTTCTTTCCAAGAAGCCCAGAGGAATAGAGAAAACTGATTTTATTCAGATTCAAAAGACAACTCCTTCTATCTCTTACTTTTGTAATTTCATTATCATTATTATCATCATTTTAAAAAGCATTCTAAAATGAAAAGAACAATCACAACAC